CCGGGGCCGGGTACCGACCGCCTCACCATGGCTCTGAGTGCCACGAAGATGATGTGGGGCAGCGTGGAGGTGACCCTGACCGGCCTCTGTGCTGTCCTGCTCTGCTGCGGCCCCATGCTGGCCGGCTGCCGCCGGCTGGGAGCTTTGTAGTTAAAAATAGCTCTGGCATCAAGAAGGCAAAAAAAAACCCTGAAGCTTTTGGGTACGTGCCGCTGAAACAAGGGAAATGGCGATGCTCGGGGTAGGAATGGGGTTAAAGGATGGAGAAGGGGACATGTCCCCAGCCCGCAGTCACTTCATGGGCACAATGGCTGCGGTTGAGGTTGGGTGTGGAGGCTCAGGGTTTGCCAGCACCGTGCAGGGTCGTTTTCTGCTCTGGCTCACACGGCTCCGGGCTGCGCGTCCGGGTTTGGGCTTGACCCCGAGGGAGCCGGGGTGCTGCATGTGGTTTTGCTCTGGGTGACATTCAGGGGAGAAGGGGAGGTGGAGGGGAAGGGGTGAGTCCGGGCAGAGCGAGCGAGAGCCCTGATGAAGCCGTGAGCCCCCTTCCCCACAGCCTGGGGGTTTCTTCAGTGGCTTCTGGTGTTTTCTGCCCCAAGGGTGGGCGCAGGGCTGGGCATCCCTTGGAGCTGATGTTGCCTCTGGTGCTGTGAAGATTCGGGTAAACGTGAACCCAACTTCTGCTTTCAGAAGTCCTCTGAGCACTTAATTCATTGCTGGCAGTGGCACTGGGTAGGAAGCAAAGCCCCAGGCCTGCTGAATATTTCCTGTTAAATAGAAGAAACCCAGAACACTGCAAAAATTACATCTCTCGGTGCGGGTGCTGCCGCAGCCAGTGCTGCCCATGGGAGCCAGGGCACTTCCCTCCCTCTCTCCCTCCCTTCCTCCTCCTATTTGGTCTCATCCCTCATTTCTCAGCCCAGTTTTCCATCTAATCTTGTGTCTATTCAGGGAATCGTCCCAGTTCCTTTTCTGGTTGGTGAGGCTGAGGTCGTGATCCTACACTCGGACCAGTGCTGGAAGGATTTTCTAACTCTGCCCGCCAGCCTTGGGGCTGCTATCGGTGGTGATTTCTGAAAAGCAAAGATAAAATTCTTAATGGCAGGGACTTCTCAAAGCATTGGTGGTTTAAATCGCTTGGTCAGATAACCCGTGTGAAAAATGCTTCTTGCTGCTTTTGTTTGCTCCGACACAAGTTAATGTATCAGCTGCCCCATCCTGGATGGCGCTGCCTGAGCCGGGACCCTGGGAGCCTGGCCCGTGTCCGTAGCATCCCCGCTGGCCAGGGGGGATGGACCCAGACAGGGGTATGTGGTGAAGCAGCAGGGCTGGTGCTAAGGGCTGGGGGGGCTCTGGCTGTGGCCGACTGCCCTCTGTGCTGGGAGCAGCCTGGCAAGCTCGGCCAGGACCCCCCGGGTGGGTGCAAGGAGGGGACAGGCAGCTGGACAGGGATGGCAACGTAAGCTCCGTGTCCCTCTGCCCTGTCAGATGGTTTTGGTCTGCAGATGGCAAATGCTGTGCCCTGGGCAGCCCCTGCCCGCCCTGTGCTCCCAGCATGGGGCAATGGGCAGCGCCGGAGCCCTCCGGCAGGCAGCCGGGCACGCGATGGGCTGCACCACGGGGCACTGCTCCAGCCAAGGCTCCGTCCGTCCGCTCGCTCTCAGGGGCAACATCGGCTGGAGGAAGGATGACTCAGACACTAAAATACAGCATGGATTTAAAAATAATACAACCCCCAAAGTCTGTTTTCTGCAGTACAGGTGTTCTGGGTTATTTTTAGGATGCCCAGAGCACAATTTGCTGTGCTGAAACCACTTTGGGGTACAGTTGTTATCCCTGAGGATGTCCCTCCAGCTGGCAGGCACATGCTCAGGAGGGGAGACACATGGGCTGATGTACCCCACCATGATCCGGGGGATGCTGCAGACTGGCCAGGCGTCAGGCTGCCGGTGTCACTGGCAAACCCCGGAGACTGGCCGTGGGTGAGCCGGGTGCTGGCAACGACACAGAGCTGGGCTCGCAACCGCTTCCCGGCAGGTTTTTGTAAATCCCTGTAGGGGCCTTCAGGAGATGATGGTGAAAGAGCTGAGGAACACGCGGAGCCTCTGGGTTGGGATGTGGGAGCCCATCACCTTGGGTTGGGATGTGGGAACCCATCACCTCTCCATGGGATGAGGTGCTAGCGGGGCGATCGGGGCTCTCAGCCTCCTTGCGTCCTTGGTTCCTGCACAGGGGGTACGGCTGTGTCTGAGACCTGTGCCCGCTGTAACCACGTCTGTTCCTTGTTTCCCAAACAGTGACCTTCTCCCCCGCCACGCTAACTCTCCCAGCAGGCAGCTCAGCCACCTTCTTCTGCAATATCTCCATGGAGAGCGACTCTCGCTCCGAGTACAGCCTCAATTGGTACAAGGAGACCAACCACAGCCAAGCCCAAAAAATTGCTGAGATCAGTCGGAACAACCCCCCGACGAAGACAGAGAAGTACGTGCTCACCAACCACACTCCTGCCTTCAAAATCGAGATCCTGAACCTTCACCAGAATGACTCAGGCTCCTACTACTGTGGGCTGATCACCTTCTTTGAACCCAACAAAGTGATGGAGAGCAACCGGTCCCAGCTGGTGGTCACAGGTCAGCCTGGGGGCTGAGCTGATGGGGACAGGTCCTTGGTGTCATCTGTGGGGCTATTGTCACCAGGCACAGGGCAGCCCCAGGGCACAAGGCAGGCGGTACCCTGCTGGGGGAGGACCTGGTGTGGGTCAGGAGAGCACAGCTCTGCCCTTTCCCTCTCCTTTGCATGCACGGTGGAGGCCCAGGGACAGCCCAGGGACACGGGCTGTCCTTCTCCATCCACAGTGCAGATGGAGCTGGCCCCATGGCAGGAGGGCTCCATCCTGCTGGGGCTGTGTCCCCAGAGATGCTGCGGGGAGGAGTGAGTCCTTACCCATGGGGGGAGGCAGGAGACCCACACAGCGAGCTGCTTGCTCCGCTGAACAGCTCCTTTGGCTGGGGACAGGGCTTGTGTTTGGGGTGACGATCAGGGCTCAGACCCCTCAAACAGCCAGTGTTGGTGTTTGTTGTTGCAAAACCCTGAGAGGGTCTTGTAGCCCAATGGCATGGGAGACTGAGATCTCGCAGCAAGCATGCCCTTGCTTGGCAGCACGGAGGCTTTGTGGGGCTGAAGGTGGCCTTTTCTAAAAAGGAGAAACTGCAAAACTCTCTGTCTTTCACAACATCTCCTCCCAACACGAGCCGAAGCAGCGGGGAGGCTTGGGGAAGCCACGTCCTCCCTGGGGCTCTGCTGGCCAAGGGACCATGCTGCAGGACTGTCTGTGGGTGCAGAGCGGTGCCCTGGCCCCTGCACCCCAGCTCTCAATGGTGGGGGTTCATCCTCACCACCTGCAATGGGAAGGAATGGGACACAGCCAAAACATCCCTGTGTCAGCCCAAATTCATGGCCCCTGGAGGGACGGTGGGGCTGGGGCAGCCTGCCTTGGACTGTGCCCCTTCTGAGGACAGCCCCTGTGTTCCCCTATCACCTTTTCCCAGGGACTATAGAGGCCATTTGACATTTCTGACCTCCTGTTTTGTTCCCCCCTTTTTTTTTTGGATGGGTATTGCAGAAGCCCCTGAGAAGGTAAATACCACTGACGAGCCTGAGATGGAGGAAGGCAATCCCTCGGAGTACATCAAGGCTGTGCTCCTGGGCATCCTGCTGCTGGCCGGGGCAGTTTTGCTGCTGATCTTCGGCTACCTCACCATCACGTACAGGCGAGGAGGTATGATCCCCCACGGGGGCCATGCTACGCTGAGGGGCTGGGGTCTGCCAGGGGACCTGATGGGTGATGCTCGTGCCTGCAGCTCCCTGGGCTACACAGGCTGGTTCAACCTGCTAAAAAACATGTCCCCACGGGACAGGTATCACCATGCCTAGGGGAGAAGGGTTCTTTGAGCCCTGCTCGCCCTTCGTAGAGCCCCCAGACCACATGCTGTGGCTCTGCACCGCTCGTCAGCGTGGTGCCTTAATGCTGCATGTGAGTCCCTCCCACACACCCTCCCTGAGCACCTTTGGGGCACCTCATCGTGTCCCCACCGCAGCACCAGGCATCGCCTCAGCCATGCCGCGGGCACCTGGGGGGCTCTCCTAGAGACAACCCCCAAGGAGCTGCACTCCACTAATCCCAGTTAAACCCCAGACTGTGGGCTGGTATCGGGCTTGTCCTTGTAACGCTCAGGGTGTCAGACTGAGGGGAGAAGGAGGAAGCGTGGTGCGATGGTTGCGGTGTCCAGCCATCTCCTAGGACGTGGGGGCTGTGTCAGCCCCAGATGCTCACACTCTCTTGGCACACACTTCTAACCAAATGTGTTACTTTGCAGATGTGCAGAAACCACCAAGTGAAAACACGCCGGCGGTGAGTTTTCCGTCTCTGACACCCTGCCGTGCTGCCGGGGAGCATCATGGCATCGCTGGGGTGCGGGGCCTCCCTTTATCAGCCCTTCACAGGCTTCTCGCTTCTCCTCTCTTCTGTGATGCTGCTTGATCTTTTCTGCATAGCCACAACTGCTTTTCTGCACCTGCAGCACAGCCCCATCACAAAATGAAAAAAACCTGCCTGAGATAGGATGGGACCTCTTGAGTCCAGCCCTTGCTCAATGCAGGGTTATCATTGATTGTGTTGCTGTAGAAAATGGGAGGAAATGTTCTCACCCCCCAGAATATTACGCTAAAATTTATTTTGCTGCAGCTAGCACCTGTTTCCTCTTTTCCTTTTGCCGGGCACCACCGGGAGGACTCTGGTTCCATCTTCTCTCCAACCCCCTTAGGCAGCTGAAGGCAGCGAGCAGGTCCCCCTTTGCTCTCCCTTCTCTGGGCTGAGCAAACAGCCCTGGGCTCTTCTTGTACACCCTCTGACAGCTCGGAGCCCCATGGAGAGGTGGGAAAAGGGCTCCGAGCACAACCCTGCCTTCAATGGCCAGGCAGGCAGGGAGCTGAGCCTCATCGGTGACCTCAACCAACCCTCACAATCTGGTTTCTCTGGGCAAATACTACTCCAGGTCTGCACATTCTTCAGATTTGTATCATCCTCACCCTCCTGCGATGCTTCAGAGCTGGTTTTGGCACTTGCTGTAAAAGGGGGCTTGTGCTGGGGGTGGCAGGTGCCCCTGGATGGACGATGAATCGCCCTGATGGGGTTTCCTTGCAGAAGGAAGAGAAGCCCCCGGAGGTGCCCGTGCCCACCGTGGACTACGGCGTGTTGGAGTTTCAGTGGGAACAGCACACCCAGGTACCCCCTGAGACCCGGCCGATTGACCAGACTGAATATGCCACCATCATCTTCCCAGAGGAGAAACCCATCACTCCAGAGCGGTGGAAGAAACACCCAGACGAGAGGACTCGGCAGCTGCGGTCACAGCCCTGCTGAGGCCGGGGGTCCCTCCTCGCCGGGGGGCATGGACAGGGACAGGCTGTCCCAGCCCCTCGCTCCCACCGCAGTTTGCAATTGGGAAAAATCCACCGTGCCAGGAGAGGAACGATGGAGGCACCGCTGCTGGAGTTGATATCGGACAGTCCTGGCCGGAGCGGGGTCGTGGCCGTGGGATGGGGACCACGGGGCAAGGAAGGTCGCTGCTGGACCCCACGTGCTGCCCCTTGGCTCGGGGCAGGGGGAATGGGATGGGGCAGAGCAGCCGTGCCAACAGGGCTGTGCCAAAGACGATTTACATCATACCTCCGTTTTCTGTCTCCACTTTCTCGTTTTCTGGAGTGGCCACGCTGCTTCTCTCACCCGGGTCTGACCCGCCCGGCAAAGTGTGACTGTGGGAGGAAATGCCAGAGGTCAGAGCTGGAGTGGATCCTGGGGATGCTGAGGGCTTCTCCTTGCCCGGGGCAGACACTGCCTTGTGTACCGCTATTTAAAACAAGCCCTGGGAAGCAGGCAGCTGGTTTTCCTCCTGGCTGCAGGCACTTTCCTCCTCTGCAACAGGGGAAATCTACCCCCGTGTCCCTCCCTCCGCAGGTGGGAGACAGATCTGGCCCTGGGGGATGAATAAAGGGTTTCACGTCCGGGGAGTTGGTTGACTCGTGATGGCAAGTGCGTGGGCAGGCAAATAACGGCTCTTGGCAGCGCACAGGCGAGAGCCGGGAGGCAGCAGTGTCTGTTGTGGTTCCCGGGCCTCTCCGTGCGATACGCAAGCC